CGGCTGCGGCCCAGTCGCCCGGCCTCGGGTCTCCTCGAGGCGCGCGCACGCTCCTGTGATCGCAGCGCGAAATGAGGTCATCCTTTGTCGGCCGGCCGCCTGCTTTCAGTTTTCCTCAATTGCGCTCTAAAAATACCTGAAGGCGGGTGAGGCTTGCGCCGCTGTCGCCGTCCTGCGGCGTGTAACGTGGCACGGTGTCCTTTCCAGATGCCCGAGGAAACCCAGACCCAAGACCAGCCGATGGAGGAGGAGGAGGTGGAGACGTTCGCCTTTCAGGCGGAAATTGCCCAGTTGATGTCATTGATCATCAACACGTTCTACTCGAATAAAGAGATATTTTTGAGGGAGCTTATTTCAAATTCATCAGATGTAAGTCTCATTACCGTAGAACTGGGTTTTGGTTTCGGTATTAATTTCACCATTTAGGGGCTCGGTGTTTAACGATCTGTTTTGTAATAGGCTTTGGACAAAATCAGGTATGAAAGCTTGACGGATCCCAGTAAACTAGACTCGGGGAAAGAGCTGCACATAAATCTCATTCCGAACAAGCAAGATAGAACCCTCACTATTGTGGATACCGGAATCGGAATGACCAAAGCCGATTTGATCAATAACCTTGGTACTATCGCCAAGTCTGGGACCAAAGCGTTCATGGAAGCTTTGCAGGCTGGTGCAGACATCTCTATGATTGGCCAGTTTGGTGTTGGGTTTTATTCTGCCTATTTGGTTGCTGAGAAGGTGACCGTGATCACCAAACATAACGATGATGAGCAGTATGCCTGGGAGTCTTCTGCGGGAGGATCGTTCACAGTCAGGACTGACACAGGTAGGCACCTGATAAAGCATTTCCTGGGTGAGCCAGTCACGTGGAGGGTGGAGGGTGGGGTGCTCTAGGCGTGGGACCCCTGAGGATGCAGTGAAATTTGTGAAAACTTGTATCTGCCTGATATAATAGGAGGCAAACTAGTGAGCATGTGGTGGTGGTGTAGTGTGAGCTTGTGGTTATGTATCGTGGGCAAAGCAGTTAACTAGTCTGGGACTCTTCCTATCTATAGTAACGGTAAACCACGTCTCCTAGACTTGTTCACAAATTGTTAGGTATGGTGTCCAGAGCTGAATTGATTGTATGTACTCTTTGTTTCCTTGGTTTGGCTATTAAGATTAGAATTGAGTCAATTTCCCTATCTCCTTTTCAGGCGAACCAATGGGTCGTGGCACAAAGGTTATCCTCCATCTGAAAGAAGACCAAACAGAGTACTTAGAGGAAAGAAGAATAAAGGAGATTGTGAAGAAGCATTCTCAGTTTATTGGCTACCCCATTACACTGTTTGTGAGTTTATGTGTATCCTGTATGTAGAAAACTATAAGTGATTTAACTGAAATCCTTACTCCTTATATTTGCTGATAAGGAAAAGACCCAAACGTGTGTTTACTGGATTAGTCTGAATTCTTTTTAGTCTGACAAGGTACCAGGTACCCAGAGCCAGAGCTGTTAAGTTAGATCCATCAGATACTGATGAGTTTCCTGGCTTCTTAATGTTTCCTAGCTTGGCTGACTAATTTAGGCTTTGGTATAAGAGTGCCTACTCCATTTCGCTTTTTTTGGTTCTAGAATGCAGAGGTGATGTGATTTCGTGTTTTTTGAAGGTGGAGAAGGAACGAGACAAAGAAGTCAGTGATGATGAGGCTGAAGAAAAGGAAGACAAAGAGGAGGAAAAAGAAAAAGAAGAAAAGGAATCAGAAGACAAGCCTGAAATAGAAGATGTTGGCTCTGATGAAGAAGAAGAAGAAAAGAAAGATGGTGACAAGAAGAAGAAGAAGAAGATCAAGGAGAAGTACATTGATCAGGAAGAGCTGAACAAAACAAAACCTATTTGGACCAGAAATCCTGATGATATTACTAACGAAGAGTATGGAGAATTCTATAAGAGCTTGACCAATGACTGGGAAGATCACTTGGCAGTGAAGGTGAGTCACTGCTGAGTGCTTCAAAGCTAGTCTACCTCTGCAGGTTGTTTCTCTGAAATCGTTAAGGGGTGTTGCTGGCAGCTTTTCCATCCCAGCCCCTATTCCCTCCCCGAAAGTACTTTATGTTGTGTAATTAAGGTGTGTGTGTGTCAGGTTAAGCAGCTTTCAGTGAAAGTTGCTTGCACTGTGTGCTGATTTAGCGTGTATTTTATTACAGCATTTTTCAGTTGAAGGACAATTGGAATTCAGAGCCCTTCTTTTTGTCCCAAGACGTGCTCCTTTTGACCTGTTTGAAAACAGAAAGAAAAAGAACAACATTAAGTTGTATGTTCGCAGAGTCTTCATCATGGACAACTGTGAGGAGCTAATCCCTGAATATCTGAGTGAGTATGGTTGGGTATAAGGAATGATCACCGTCACTGGTTAAAGAATTTTATTCTGTCAACTCTAGATCTTCAGTATAAGCATGTGGGATGAAAAGTGGCTTATCTTTGGTTTTGGGGGTATATTTCTTTGTGAATTTTTGTCCTTAGAATGATTGAGTGCATTTGGTCCTTATTTTTTCAGATTTCATTAGAGGTGTGGTGGACTCGGAGGATCTTCCTCTAAATATTTCCCGTGAGATGTTGCAACAAAGCAAGATTTTGAAAGTTATCAGAAAGAATTTGGTCAAAAAATGCTTAGAACTCTTCACTGAACTGGCAGAAGATAAAGAGAACTACAAAAAGTTTTACGAGCAGTTCTCTAAAAATATTAAGGTTGGTATAAACACATTTGATCATTAGTAGCTGTAGTCACATAGGCTTCTCAAATTTCAAATGATTTTTAACACAGAAAATGTCTTCCTAAAACTTATTTTTCAGCTTGGAATTCATGAAGACTCTCAAAACCGGAAAAAGCTTTCAGAGCTGTTGAGGTATTACACATCTGCTTCTGGTGATGAGATGGTTTCTCTCAAGGACTACTGCACAAGAATGAAGGAAAACCAGAAACACATCTATTACATCACAGGTAACGGACAATAAATGGTACAATCACATCTTGGTTTTTTATAACCTCGTAGGAACTGTGGGGGTGTATTCTACCTATATAAGTTAGGTATTGATGAAGGCAAGATAGTTAACATGAGCTAGCCCATCTCTATGGTTAGATCTGACTTAGACAGGAAAAGATAAAAGGAAATGAAACCATTTCTGTCCAAAGTCTAAAAGTAATTTTCCACTTTCTCAGGTGAGACCAAGGACCAGGTAGCTAACTCGGCCTTCGTGGAACGTCTTCGGAAGCACGGCTTAGAGGTGATCTATATGATCGAGCCTATTGATGAGTACTGCGTGCAACAGCTGAAGGAGTTTGAGGGCAAGACTTTAGTGTCAGTCACCAAAGAGGGCTTGGAACTTCCAGAAGATGAAGAAGAGAAAAAGAAACAGGAAGAGAAAAAAACAAAGTTTGAAAACCTCTGCAAAATCATGAAGGACATCTTGGAGAAAAAAGTAGAAAAGGTGTGTAAATAACAATGTTTTAACCTACATTTCCTGATTGACTCTTCTTAGAAGCTGTTAGATGTTTTTCCAAATGTATCATACACAGTCCCTTTCTCCTCATAAGGTCTGAAATAGAAAACTGGAGCCTTTCCATTTAGTAATGGCTATAGCTTGTAGGATGGTTAGACCTGAAAAGTGTAGGAGAATGTACAGGAAGAAAACTGAATACGTAAATTTGCAAGTAGTATTTTTGATCCATGAATACTTGGGTTCTTTAGATTTATTTCATAATAAAGCTGATTAGGTGGAACTGAGAAGTTAGAAACTTCTTAGGCCTAGTTATCACTTAATTCTTTGATTATAGGTGGTTGTGTCAAACCGGCTGGTGACATCCCCATGCTGCATTGTCACAAGTACATATGGCTGGACAGCAAACATGGAAAGAATCATGAAGGCTCAAGCCCTAAGAGACAACTCGACAATGGGTTACATGGCTGCGAAGAAACACCTGGAGATCAACCCTGACCATTCCATCATCGAGACCTTAAGGCAGAAGGCAGAGGCTGACAAGAACGACAAGTCTGTGAAGGATCTGGTCATCCTGCTCTATGAAACTGCACTCCTGTCTTCCGGCTTCAGCCTGGAGGATCCCCAGACACATGCTAACAGGATCTACAGGATGATCAAACTTGGTCTTGGTAAGCCTTGTATAATACTATGTTATCAGGAAAAGAACCCTAAACATGTGGTTGTTGAAACGGGTGCTCAGCTATTTGAACAAGATTCGGTTATGTCATTTAGGAAACGTGTTAAAGGGGTAAATAGGCCTTCTCATCATAAGAGGTAAGGAATTGAGATCCGCTTTCCCTGTAATTGCTCAGCTTTGAAAGTGAATATAAACCAGCAATATTAGGCTAATTAGCTGGCTTTGAAGACATCTAGTAACAAAGGTTTTATTTCTTGAAAGGTATTGATGAAGATGACCCCACCGCTGATGACAGCGCTGCTGCTGTAACTGAAGAGATGCCGCCGCTGGAAGGAGATGATGACACGTCACGCATGGAGGAAGTAGACTAAACTCTGCCTGAGGAGTCACTTGTACACATGTTCAGTACTTTGTCTTCGTTCTCTCTGATAATATATTTGCAAGGATTTTTTCTTTATTTTTGTTAACATTTAAAAAACGTGTTATGGCATGACAATAACTACTTAAGGGGATAAGATTTCTTTCAACTTCTGAGTGTGATACTGTGATACTTTAGGCACTAAAGCAGAGCTAGTTTTTCTTTTCTAGTTTCATGTTGGCTTATTTTAACAGATTGAGGTAATGTTCGTTGTAAGACGTATGTAACCTAATGTTAGCTTTGTGGTCTGAAGTGTTTAGCTTCATCAAGCAGTTTCCTTAGTAGACCAAATCTTTTGTCGCTGAAGTGTTCTGAGATAGACTTTGATGTTTAAAGGAAAAACATTTGTTAAAACAACTTGCATCTTCTAGGATCTGCTTTTTAAACCTTCCATCCCCAGTAGTTATCAATTGCATGTACCAGTCCTCTAGAAATTAGTGTGTTAAGCTGAACGAACTTGATGGGAGTAACTATCCACTGGGCTTGTTTTCCAAAGAAAAGTATTGTGTAGAGTAGCACAAGTATAAGCTGCCCTGTGCGTGTGTGAAGCTGTTGGAAAATGACTCAGCAAGTTTTGTGAATGGCAATGTGGTGCCCAAGTCACATTTTGCTTTAAAATGTTGTAACAAATAGAAATTTAAAAAAAAAAATTGTGTTAAAACGTCTTCTTTGGGGAAGGGGGTATTACAGATGGCAGGGTGGCCCCAGAATGTAAAAACATTAGCAGATGTTAACACTGACTGCCCTAAGTCTTAATGTGCCTTTCCCACAGTACACACAGGTGGCAAGTGTGGGGTCATGAGCATGTTCTAGGAGATGAGAAGAGAGTGGATATGTCAGACAACATGCATTCCCTGTATCCATGTTTTGTATTCTAATAGACAACCATTCTCACTTTAGGGTTTTCATGTGCAAACTGCTTTTCCATGGTATTTGTAAAACAGTTTATGCTCTAAACATAGCCCCTTAATACTTTGGCTTTACGTCTCTCAATTCTTTACCAAGTCTACTTTATGCCATCCTACCTGAAATCATCTTGCCTTATTCATTTTGGTTCTTCGTTGACCCTCAGGCAAGATGACGTAGCAGTGGTTGGTGGTAGCTGTGAGCAGGAGATAACAGCTGGTGGCAGAGGGTGGGCATGGGTCTTACAAGATAAACAGTTGAATAGGTGAGGTCCCCACTGGGGGCAGTAATGGCTATTTCAGTCTTCTAATCCTAAAATGAAGTCATTTTTAAAGGACTTGGATCCTGAGCCTGAGGCCACATGTGAAACATGACAGGGATTAATGGGAGGGCAGGGAGAGGTCTCAGCATTCTGTATACTGTGAAAGGTGGGTCCCCTAGTGCTCAGTAGGTGTGAAGTGCTGGTAAAAGGCCATCACATTTAACCCCTAAAATCTTCTGAGGCAAAGTTCTTACTCCCCTTGGACAAATGAGAGGAATTACTTAAATTGAGGTGTCCATGTTTGAGTTCAGGTTTAACTCCAAAGTTGATTCTTTTGTGCTCTTTTGCTGCTTACTGAAAGATGTTCCCAGCTAGGAGGAAGTGTGAGATTACCTGGTAGAAGTAGGAATTGAATGGCAAAAAGGACAAAGGGGAAATTTCTATGTTTCCCGTGTCTAATAAGAATATTAAAGATTCTGTTCAAATCAACAGCAGGAATTTGAGGGAAACAACGGACTGAGGGTCTCTGTATAAATGATCTGACAACACGTCTTCCCCAAGTCGTTGGGAAAGCGTTTATGGCAAACAGGAGGGTCCTTACTGTGTATTTGGAACTGTCACCCATAGCCCTTATGGTACAGACTGGACCACCAAGAAGACATGCCCAGCCCAGGGGGTGAGAAGGTGAGCTAGACTATGTGTGAACAGCGTGCCAGCAGTGTCCTTCCACTGCTCAGACGTCCTCCGGGGGTCCCTAGCCTGCTTCACAATCCAGTGTTGCTTTACACCTTCCATAATTGAACCCCATCCTGCCTAGGAGGCTAGTAAGTGCTAAAAAGCAAAGACCTGTACAGACAAGAAAAGATGAAGACTTGATTCGCAGTCCTGGGATAGGAGATAAGTATAAAAAACCAATTGGGTTTATGTTAGCAACAATCATCATTAATTAAATCTTTAAAAATTCATTCACGGGCCAGCCCCGTGGCTTAGCGGTTTAGTGCGCGCGCTCTGCTGCTGGCGGCCCAGGTTCGGATCCGGGCGTGCACCGACACACCGCTTCTCCGGCCATACTGAGTCCGCATCCCACATACAGCAACTAGAAGGATGTGCAGCTATGACATACAGCTGTCTACTGGGGCTTTGGGGGAATAAAAGGAGGAGGATTGGCAATAGATGTTAGCTCAGAGCCGGTCTTCTCAGCAGAAAGAGGGATTAGCACGGGTGTTAGCTCAGGGCTGATCTTTCTTACAAAAAAAAAAATTTCATTCACAATAGCATACTAAATAGAAATGTCTTACAAAAGGTTTTGCAAGACCTGTACACTGGGAACTAAAAGACATTGCTCAGAGAAATTAGAGACGTCGGTAAAGGAGAGAGACACTGTTCCCTGTGTTGAAAGACTCAATCATGGATTCTCCTCAAAAAGCATCCTGCTAAGAAGCCAGACACCAAAGGCTATGTTCTGTATGATTTCATTTTAGTAAAATTCTAGAAAAGGCAGACAGAAAAAAATTTAGTAAAATTCTAAAAAAGGCAGATCTACGACAGAAAGCAGATCAGTGAGTGGCCTGGGACCACGAGTCCTAGTGGGAATTGGCTGCAGAGGGGCAAGAGGGAATTTTGGGGAGCAATGGAAGTGTCCAAAAACCTGAAGAGGTGATGACTGCACTGCTGTGTATATTTATTAAAATCCCTCGAGCTTAGTGCCTGGCCCGGTGGCGTAGTGGTTAAGTTCATGCGCTCCACTTCAGCGGCCTGGAGTTCACAGGTTCGGATTCCGGGTGCAGACCAACGCACCGCTCATCAAGCCATGCTGCAGCGGCATCCCATGTATAAAGTAAAGGAAGATTGGCAGAGTCGGAAGGTTGGCAACAGGTGTTAGCTCAGGGACAGTCTTCCTCACCAAAAAAATCCATCGAACTTAAAAATGGGTGAATTTTAATGGTGTGTTATATACTTAAATAGCAAATTAAAAAAAGCAAAGGAATAGAATCCAGTCTACCTGGGTTCAAAAGTGACCTTGAGCAAGTCACTGGACTTCCTGTGCCTCGTTTGTCAGTTAGAGATGATAATACCTTAAAAGGGCAATTCAATTTTCTAGGTGGTGGGCTTAGCAGGTGCCTGGAGTTTAACAAGTGCTCACAAACTGACAGCTTTTACTGCGGAGGACTCCTCCGTCTGCTCCGATGGGACCTTTCCTCCCTCTCCCATGAACTTCCTTACGCAGAATCACTTCCACCACATATATTGTTCTCCTGGAGTGTAATCTCCTGAAGCCCCAGCCTAAGCCTCACCCGCTCCAGGAAGTTTTCCTAGACGACTACTGCCCTCACCGTTTCTCAGTCCTCGGCACTTTTAGTAATTCCTACCAGGCATGTGGTCATCACATTTTTATTGTCCACCTACTAAAAACCCCAGTACAGTTCAGTGGGCCACGCAGAGGAAAACGGCCTCATCGGGGAAGGTTGGCAGAGTGAAACGAAGCAACAGCAGCCACAATGAAGGCCGGGAAGGTATAAGCACAGAGCAAGGAGGGGCTCACTCTGTTGGCGGGCAGGGTTTGGGGAAGCTTGACTGCTGACCTGATTTTAACAAAGAGGGAAGTGGGGAGGCTTCCCAGGACGAGGGAGAGGGCATTGCCAGGCTTGAGAACCTGGATGAGTTTGGTCTTGGGAAGGGACATGTGGGTGGTCTGAGTGACAACACAGAAAGCTGGAGGGTGAAAATTATTAACTCTGTGTGCCTTGAACATTAGTCACTCCCTCCGACCTGGATTGGAGACTGCTCAGCCACTTTCCTGGTGGGAAGGCGGTAGCCCATGGTCTGCTGTGGGTGGCCTCTTCAGTCGTGGGGCCTGTACCCACCCCTTGAAAAATGTCCTTCATACCAGGAATACTGAGGCAATTTCTAAGTCAGTTCCACCATCTTGTTCCATGAAATTGTCTCATCTTGCTGCCAGGTGGTCCCTTATTCCACTGTGGCCCACCCCATCTCATCTTACAGATAGGAAAAGCAAGCACAGGGAGAGTGGACACACGGGGCCACCTGGACCGAGGGAGGCCGGTACAAGGATGCCTGTACAAGGACGCAAGCACACCAGCTTCCACTGGGTCGTCTCCCCTGCACCCCCTGGGCTGGGGCCTGAGGACTGGGGTACACGTCCTTCGCTTGGCTCCGCCTCCAAAGACAGCAGTTTAGGAAGAGCCCATATGACCAAGCCTGAGTTTTGAGAATAGAGATGTCTGTCTGTTCACCAAATATTTATAACAGTGTCTGGCACATGGCAGGCACTCAAATATTTGTTAATAAATTAGCCTAAGTTGGGGGCCGGCCCCGTGGCTTAGCAGTTGGGTGCACACGCTCCACTACTGGCGGCCCTGGTTCGGATCCCGGGCGCGCACCGACGCACTGCTTGTCCAGCCATGCTGAGGCCGCGTCCCACATACAGCAACTAGAAGGATGTGCAACTATGACATACAACTATCTACTGGGGCTTTGGAGAGAGAAAGGGAAAAAAAGGAGGAGGATTGGCAATAGATGTTAGCTCAGGGCCGGTCATCCTCAGCAAAAAGAGGAGGATTAGCATGGATGTTAGCTCAGGGCTGACCTTCCTCACAAAAATAAATAAATAAATTACCCTAAGCACTTCACAGTTTACAAACACTTGAACTTACAGTTTCTCATTTATTTTTTTAACTTTTATTTTGGAGATTTCCAAAACACATGCAAAAGTAGAGGGAGACAGATAATAACAAGTGTTGACAAGGATGTGGAGAAATTGGAACCCTCGTATGCTGTTGGTGGGAATCTGAAATGGTGCCATTTTGGAAAATAGCCTTGCAGTTCCTCAAAAAGTTCAACATAGAGTTATCATAGGATCATAGAGTCACCACAGGATCCAGCAATTCCACTCTAGGTATATACCCAAGAGAAATGAAACACATGTCCACAAAAACGTGTACACACATTTTCATAGCAGCATTATTCATAAAAGCCAAAAGGTGGAAACAACCCAAATGTCCATCAATAGATGAATAAATAAACACAACGTGATAATCCATACAATAGGATATTATTTGGAATATTGTATTATTGCCATAAAAAGGAGTGAAGTACTGATTCATACGATAATACAGATAAACCTTGAAAACATTACGCCAAGTGAAAGAAGCCACACAAGGCCACATATTTATTGTATGATCCCATTTATATGAAATGTCCAGAATAGGCAAATCCATAGAGACAGAAAGTAGATGCACGGTTGCCACTGGTTGTGGGGAGGGGGGATGGGAGTGACTGCTTAATGAGAATAGAGTTTCTTTGTTTTTTGTGAGCAAGATCATCCCTGAGCTAACATCCATGCCAATCCTCCTCTTTTTGCTGAGGAAGACCGGCCCTGAGCTAACATCCGTGCCCATCTTCCTCCACTTTATACAGGACGCCGCAACAGCATGGCCTGACAAGCGGTG